TTAAATGTAAACAAAAGGGTTATGAGGCTGTTCGAAAGTGGTTACCCCTCCCTTCTTGGCGTCTTGTGCAGGAATATAGAAATATGAATACCTCAGCTGATCCAGTTGATATGGCACAATTAGAAAGGTGTTGGAATGAAATAAGGCAGCGTGGAATCTGCAATCTGTTTGGTCTACACTGGGATGAAATTGACATTCGTAGTGGAGTAAAGCTGTGTAGACGAACTGGCCAGCTTATTGGTTTTGAAGATTTTACTCTACCAACTGAGCTAGAAATGGACATAGAATTGAATGAGACCAGTCAGCCTTTAGATCAGTCGCTCTTTGAGGAGGAAAATGAAAACTACTACACAAGTGATGATGAATCTGATGACACACATTATGCCGACTCTGACTCGGAAAATGATTCAACTAGAGTTCCTAAACCTAAGACTGCACGCCAAATTTGTCAATTCTTCTTAACCAGTCTTGAGGGAGATTTTACATGGCCAGTTGCTTCTTTCCCAGTTTACAGTGTCACCGCTGAAAAACTAAACAAACACATGATATGGCCCCTCATAAAAGCACTAGATAAAGTTTTAAACAGCAATAAAAAGGTGGTATATGGGGTTTGTGACGGAGGTCCATGGAATTCAAAATTTTTTAGGACATCATCAAAAAAAACACCATGGGTAGGACAGAATGAAGTTACTGGAGGGGATATCTTTTGGATATCAGACTACCCTCACACGATTAAGAAGCTAAGAAACTTCATGAACAACCCAAATTATAACTTAACATACCAGGGAAGAACTGTACTTTGGGATCATGTTGCTGCTGTTGCTAAACAAGAAAACAGTCTTCTTAAAAGCAAACATGTATTTATTGATTCTAAAAGTAAGATGAAAGTTATGTTAGCACGAGAGGTACTTTCAGAACCAACGGCTAAGGCAATGGAAGATCCATGTTTTCCATACACTAAAGATGAAACTTCATTCACTCGCAAATACATAAGAATGTGTGACCGGCTCTTCAGAATTATGAATTCAGTTTCTCTTCATCCAAACTACATGCAAGAGCTCCTGTCTGTACTACTGTTTTTTAAAAGGTGGCATGATGAGACTGAGGAAAAGGTGAAATCATATTCTAGCAAGGGAAAAAAAAGGCAGGAGGAAGCAGTTTATTCCTGTGAAAACATATAATGATTTCCTTGTCTTGATTCGCGGTACAATTGCTTTAATTGGTTTTGTGAAGATAAACTTTCCTCATATCAACATTGTCCCAAAAAGCCTATATCAAGATGATGTTGAAAATTATTTTTCACTTGTCAGAGGCCGTGAAGTGTCACCAACTGTTCAACGATATATGGAAATTCGACAAACTCTTGACATTGATTTTGGCATAACTCAGGAACTTGGTCTTCTAGATGGTTCTTCTAGTTCTTATGAAGGTCCTGCAGTTTCTCCACAGCCCCTTCACCTAATGAAAAATCAAAATAGAAAGGGTAAGACAGTAGAACGTGCTAATACTGTATGCACTATTAAGCAAATGATATCGCAAAATCAAGCTAATTGTGAAGAAATCTTGGTAGGAGAAAAATGTCCAGCTTTGCCTAGCTATAGTGAAGATCAAAAGAAAAAACTTGAATGCCAGTGCCTGGAAATTCTTACCATCATTGAGCAATCTTTGCCTACAACGGTAATAAACTCAACACATTTAGTACTTGACTCCCTTTCAGATTCAGTGAATCGTTCTTATGTAATGAATTTCAACATGCTTCTGGACCAGAAACTTAAATCAGAATACTTTAACCTTAAAAGCTTCCATAAGGACACATACAACACTGCATGGACACAACTTCTTCTAGACAAACACTTATATTGTTGGTGGTCTTCTTTGTGTAATCTTATCTGTGGAGGAAGTAATGCCACTGAAGAAGCCATGGAATTATATTTAAGAAAGTTTGTTAAGCGAAGGTGTGTATATCATTTAATGAAAGAGGATTTATCTCCATTATCTGGCCACACTGCTGCAATAAGAACTAAGCTAACAAGAACAGCAATAAAGAATGAATCACCAAAAGAGGCTGCCCCAACAGATTTATGTAGGAGATGTAACATGTTAGGACACTGGGCGAAGAATTGTACTAATCCACCAGAACCGGAATGGCTTGCCAAGCAGGAATGCTACAAATGTGGAATAAAGGGCCATTTAGCTGCACAATGTTCTAACACAAGGGCCAGGATACCTCCAATAAATGTGCTACTGACACCAAAGGCATAAATTTACCCGCACTGGTTTCCTTGCTCAAAACTCATGACCTAAAAAAGAACAGCAAGTATCAGCACCTCAAAGATGAGTTGCCAGCTGACGTAACAGATATACATCCATATTTAAAACAGAGGTCAGAGGCTTAGAAAGAGGCAAGGAAGAACAAACTAAATGCAAGTAAAGCGGGGGTTATTACTGGGCACTTTGGCCTTACACAGGCTCAAGATTATTGGAACTCTGCAGTTCAAGGCGAAAGTATTGATGACAGCCAGGATTTCATCAACAAATTAGCCATGGAGTGGGGAACTGTTTGCGAAGACTGTGCTCGGGTCACCTACCTGCAATTCTTGAATGATTCATGTATTGATTACACAGTTTATGAGACAGGATTATGGACAATCAAACATTGCAATCAAGATATGTTTGGTTGTTCACCAGATGATATCGTTATCATTAATGGTACGGGTATGCATGGAGTAAGTGGAAGGGGTATTGTTGAATACAAGTGTCCATTTAAAGGAGGCTATCCCTCACACTATAAACAAATTCCAGCTTGCTACTATATGCAAATGCAGTTGAACATGAAAGCAACAAACAGTGACTGGTGTCATTTTGTTACCTGGACACCAAAAACAACAAAAATTGCTACTGTGAGGCGAAATGACAGTTTTATTAATGAACTACTTGAAGGTGTACACCAACATTATTGGATCTTAACTGCGCCACCAACAACCCTTCATCCCAAGTTGAGGGAGATTGAGAGAAAGGCTAAAGAACATTCTGAGAAAATCAAAATGACAGTTGAAATACAGTCTTTAAATAGCTCCTCTACCATTCCTCACCTTTCACAGTTTAGTCCTGAGAATATTGAAATTCAAGTTGCAAAGGAAAAGCATAGCAAATTACAAAGTAAGCAACATAAACCACACAAGCGTGTTCTTCACTGTTCCAAGTGCAGAAGGCCACTTGTTATTTGTAACGCAGACAAGTGTTCGGGGAAAAAGGATGTTGCTGCCAGGAAATCCCTTTTTAAGAACATTTCAAGTAGTTCTGGAGAGAAACCTGTTTCTTTAATGTTTGGCTCTTATGTGAATGGCTCAAACAATGTTGCAAACTCCTGCCATCAAGATGCTTGATTGGTTGTAATGTCAGAAATTTTCAATAGACACCCAGAATTTCTTACATCTTCTCCAATGAATAAACAGCTGACCAAAGCATTTCAAGCATTAAACCGTGCATGGAATCTCAATCGTAATGATAAACTTCATGATAGTAAGATCATTTTATGGTCATGGTTGCAGAATGAAACATGTAATGGTCGTATTTATTATAGACTGGGAAATCAGTGTAGTCTTGAAGGAATAATCCATTCATTGCATTATTATATGACTCAGGAGGAACGCAAATTCTTCAGTTTTGTTACGTCAGTTTCTAGAAAATGTTGCAAGTTCGGTAATCACATATTTCCATCAAAAGAAAGACAGAGTGGCACATTTAAAATTATTGTAGATGAAGTTATCCCTGAAGATCGGACAGATCCCTCAGATCCACAAAGTTCCATTAGTCTGATTAAATACTTCAAACGCCATGCTTTACCTCAAGGATATTCATGTGTATCTGGCACATGCAACTACATGAATGAAACGGGAAATAATACCCATAAATGTGACCAGCCTGCTCTTCGTATTACAACACTTCAACACATTCCAAACCTAATCATATTTGAGGTTTTTAAACCAGATGCTGCACCCCTTAAATGGGACTCTCATATTGACCAAGAGTTTGAAGTCTTACAACAAAAGTACAAACTTACAGGGTTAATCTATCATAGCCAAGCCAGGGCACACTACTGGTCTGAGCTGTACGTTGACAATAGTGTGCATTCCATCAACCCTGGATGGTATAGCCATGATGGCCTTGCAAATGGTGGGATGTGTATTAAAACTGGAGACAAACCAAATTTGGAACATCAAGGGAAGCATTTGAGTTTGGCATTTTTTGAAAAGGTTAATGTCAGATCATTTTCTGAAACACCTTCTTCTACTTCCAAGTCCACAAGAACTTGGTCAGAAACTGGCATGTCTCCATCAGGAAAAACCCCTGTGCGAAAAAAACAAGTCTAAGGACTCTCAAACTTGTAGCTGACATTTTAATCTCCCTTCTTTTCTGATGATAAATTGAATTGGCTCCAGGTAATATGTTAGCAAGCTGCTGGCCTGTTCCAGGTGTTCAGATAACTAGAGTGTAGGAGAAAAATATGACAAAAAAAAAATAGATTGACTCGCTTTCCACGATCTGATGCCATGCACTACTATATGAATGGCTGGAACAGGCTAGCAAGTTCCTTAAGTCAGAGGTGGCCGATGGTACCTAAACTAAATATTATTGCGTACTCAAATCTCTCTGTGTGATCCCCTTATCTCTTAATTACTTGTGATAAACATTTAAGGTTGATTTGAGAGTTACCATTTCCATGATTTTCAGATTTTCCACCTCTTTTATTGCAGTGTTGAATTTTTAAACATTTAAAGTCTTTAAGCTTCTCTTATTTTACCATTCAACACCTCTCTTAGTCTTCTCATACACTGTGTATGTATGCTCTAATTAATTTGAAACTTCTTAAGTCTGGTTCGTCAAATTTCCTTTACAACAGCCCAATGTAGTGGTCAAATGCAGTGCACTAGTCTCTGTAACTATGAAGTACGTGACATACAGCTTTAAAAACTCTTTTGTTATTGTATAAATATAAG